CCTGTCATCATACAATGTCTACTCCTGTCATCACACAATGTCTACTTCTGTCATCATTCAAAATGTCTACTCCTGTCATCATACAATGTCTACTCCTGTCATCATACAATGTCTACTCCTGTCATCATACAATGTCTACTCCTGTCATCATACAATGTCTTCTCCTGTCATCATACAATGTCTACTCCTGTCATCATACAATGTCTACTGTCATCATACAATGTCTACTCCTGTCATCATACAATGTCTACTCCTGTCATCATACAATGTCTACTCCTGTCATCATACAATGTCTACTCCTGTCATCATACAATGTCTACTCCTGTCATCGTATCTCCTGCACATTGCAATATCGAATCGTTTACACACCGGTCCTTGTTACTGCAGCTTTTATTTGGTACAATTGAAGGCCACAACTACATTAGCATATGATTAGAGTCAAGTGTCAGGTTTCTTTAGTGCCAGTGATTTAAATTCCTCTCACTGTAGTGTAATATCCACGTTGCTGTACTGCTGGCTTCTCTTAGAGGCCAACTCAATTCACCGAGGAACTAAGGTTTAGAGTTCGAAAACATCCACCAAGTCAATGACATAAACAACATAACTTTTCTATGTTTTATTTCAAAATATGGTCAGAGCAAGAAATGTCCTTCAGATTTTATATGGACGCAGGACCGTTTTAAGATCTTCTTTGGCTGTAGGCACTCGTAAGCCCACCTGTCAACTGCTGCCATGATCCGTACTTCAGATCATAAAAGGTTTATATCGGTGCACCGACAAATCTGCTTCCAACAAAACAACCCAGCCAAAATAGCCCCGACTTAAAGGCCCTGATATATTGGCTCCCGTCAAATTATTTCATTACATATGACTTCCGACAAACAGGCTCCGGGCAAATGGGCTCCCAATATATGGGCTCCCGATTCATGGACTCACGACATATTGGCTCATGGCGAAATGACATATTTATGCTAGACAAATAAATAATATGACCACTTTTGGTATAAACGTAACCAATTTATCCATAACCATCATAATCTCTTTTCAATGCCTTAATGAAAAACTTCATGAAACAAAAGCGATTCATAATCTAATCCAGCTCTTATAAACAATTTGCCACTAATTTTAGAAATTTCGAGAATGAGTTGTTAACACCCGCGAAGACCTGTTGAAATAGAAGTTGAAATGTATGGTTTACAATTTGCGTAAAAGACTTGCTGCTTTGATAAACTATTTCTCTAAATTTATGGTTTACAATTTGCGTAAGGGTTAAAAGAATTGCTGCTTTGATAAGCTATTTCTCCAAATTTATGGTTTACAATTTGCGTAAGGGTTAAAAGAATTGCTGCTTTGATAAACCTTTACTCTAATTGTACCGCCTGGACGTTTCTCCACACACAGTCAGTTGGAACAGTCCACAACCAACTCGTTTGATAGACGTCACCCAACACGTTTAAGGGACGTCATAACTAGATAACCCTTACATTTTCTCATAAATTGACGTAAAAATAAGGTCTCCCGTCAAGAGCCGTAAAATTAAAACATAATGTAACAGCAAAGCTTAAATATTGAGCTACGAGCCGACCCACCGCTTATCATACGCCGCTATTTAGTTGTTTTATTTTCTACTTTTCAGTAATTCATAACTTGTGAATTCGACAGTACCAACGCTGCCACTGAAAATATTTGCTTTATACAATATCAGTAGCTTGTTAAGGACGATAACCCCCCCCCCCCCCTCTCCTTTTCCCAACCCCTACCCCCCCCCCCCCCCGTGAAAGTAAACTCCTCTTAGTTACCTCCCCTAAGTTTAAAATCGTTTCAAACTAAATTATCTGCCCCTAATAGCCGTCACTAACCCCGACTCTACGATTGTAAACATTTAGCGTGAACCACAGCTCAGTAATTCATAATGGAGGCGAGCGAGTTGACGAGATTCCTTCCATAATGTTGTTGACATGGAATAAAAACGTGCTTTTTAGATTTAGACCGTAAAAAAAAATAAAAAAATAAAAACTTAAGCCTAAAATTAATTTAGAAATTTTATATTTTTAGAATAAATGCTATAAAAGTTGCAAATCCAGAGAACTTGAAAATAATTTGTTGAGTTTAAGGCTACATTTCTATTTATTTTCATCAAGCCTACGTTATAACCGGATGTTTCACTTTCGTAAGACAAATATTGATTGGCTGTACAGTAACTTAGTGATCGATAACTATTTGTTTACAAAACTTTGCAGATCAAGTTTTTAAATAACAATGCAAATTTAAAACCCCATGACCTAGTTTTCTATTTTTAGCTTACAATGTGTACAATAAAATCAATGGCGGCCTATCCAATAGCAGGATGCCATTGTTTATGTCGCCATTACACGTGAAAACCAAATTGTTTTTGCTTTTTTTTTAAATTTTTATTTAGTTACCGAAAATATTATAAACATCAAATACATCCAATTTTAGTAAAGTCCGAAAAAAACCAGACAGACAGGATTTTATAACCATATTAATTGTAACTACGCTGTGCATGATTTTTAAATGAATTTATACACCTCTCAAATACCTTTGAGACTTTTCTCGCTGGTGTCCATTTGTGAATTCGACAGTACCACTGCTGTCACTGAAAATATCTGCTTTAAAACACTATCAGTAAGTCGTTTAGAACGATAACCACCCCCCCCCCCCGTTAAAGCAGCCTTCTCTTAGCTACCTCCCCTAAGTTTAAAATCGTTTCAAACTAAATTATCTGCCCCTAATAACCGTCACTAAACCCGGCTCTACGATTGTAAACATTTAGCGTGAACCACAGCTCACCAGACTTCCTAGAGGGGAAGAAAGGGGACTGCAAGGCGCGCTTACAGCTTGTTTTCTAACGTCTCCAAGAAGAGAATTATATATATATGAGCCGACCCTCGGTGTATCATACGCCGCTATTTAGTTGTTTTATTTTCTACTTTTCAGTAATTCATAACTTGTGAATTCGACAGTACCAACGCTGCCACTGAAAATATTTGCTTTATACAATATCAGTAGCTTGTTAAGGACGATAACCCCCCCCCTCTCCTTTTCCCAACCCCTACCCCTCCCCCCCCCCCCCCCCGTGAAAGTAAACTCCTCTTAGTTACCTCCCCTAAGTTTAAAATCGTTTCAAACTAAATTATCTGCCCCTAATAGCCGTCACTAACCCCGGCTCTACGATTGTAAACATTTAGCGTGAACCACAGCTCAGTAATTCATAATTTGTGAATTCGACAGTACCACTGCTGTCACTGAAAATATCTGCTTTAAAACACTATCAGTAAGTACTTTAGGACGATAACCCCCCCCCCCCCCCCCCCCCCGTTAAAGCAGCCTTCTCTTAGCTACCTCCCCTAAGTTTAAAATCGTTTCAAACTAAATTATCTGCCCCTAATAACCGTCACTAAACCCGGCTCTACGATTGTAAACATTTAGCGTGAACCACAGCTCACCAGACTTCCTAGAGGGGAAGAAAGGGGACTGCAAGGCGCGCTTACAGCTTGTTTTCTAACGTCTCCAAGAAGAGAATTATATATATATGAGCCGACCCTCGGTGTATCATACGCCGCTATTTAGTTGTTTTATTTTCTACTTTTCAGTAATTCATAACTTGTGAATTCGACAGTACCAACGCTGCCACTGAAAATATTTGCTTTAAAACACTATCAGTAAGTCGTTAAGGCCAACTGTGAATGGATAAGCTGGCCCTGTATGGACGAATAACCAAACAACAGGTTTGGAACATTCAAGTTCAAATAAACGAACAAGTCGAGTAGATTGTTGTCCCTTGTGGACCTACATTCGGGTCATAATAGTTTCTTCTATATCGTGCCTACACTCTCTAGCATCTGGGCCACACTGGCCTTCTATCTGACTTGATAATATGTACACTGCTTGAGGTCATCTAGAGAAGCAAAAGTAAAGGTCATACAGTTCTTAAAATATTTAAGTACAATTTTATACGATGAAATATACTGTTGAAACATATACGCGAATGTTTTTTAGCTTTCGTTGAACAGGTAGCCTAGCAATGACGATATGTAGGCCTATACTAGTTCTATTGGCGTGCAACTTTTATGCCAAGGTCGTCTTATTATACGATATCTAGGCCTATACTAGATCTATTGGCTTTCAGCTAGTATGCCGAGACATGGAACAGGTGAACTCTACTTCACTTGCCCATAGACTTGCTCCGTAGATTATTAAAGCATGTAGTGAGAATGTTTTATTTTTAAAGGATTTGAACGTAGTTGAAAATTTTGTTTTAAATTTTAACAAAGATCTATCAAACATCTTTGTTAAGCTTTTCTCTCATGCAGGAGGCGAACTACACACTGAATGGTAGAGTGATTTCATTCAATGCCACAGCCTAGTCGACCGACTTTGTCTACACTGGATAGGGTATGACGATATAGGATACCACCAGAGGACAATAATATTTTCACAGCTAACTCAAGTGGAACAGAGTAGAGAACACACTGCTTGTGTTACAGTTTGTAATCCTAAACAAACAACTACCAGTTGTGCTGGTACAGATTTTAAGTAGCGGTAAGAATTCATAATATTTACCACTTTCATCCTTAAGAGCGTATTATATTTTTGTTTTATCTACCGCTCTCTGTGATCTATCAATCAATGTGCATTTGTTTTCTCTTGTTATTTAGAGTAAGTCCAAGTATGGCTATACAGAACTGATGTTTCTGACTACAATTGAAAAGATTGTTAATTGGAGTTTGCTTTGTTTGCTCTGTGAGCTCACTCTGGCTAAAGATAATTCTTGACGTGGTTTTTATTATGCAAAATGATTAGTTATGATTTTGAAGTCTTCATTCTATCTTATTGTTAATATTTATATTTAAGTTATGGAATTGTATTTTATAAATATATGGATTATTTTTTAAAAATCATATTGACTTTAATTTCATGCATTGTTTAAATTTGTCTAAGATCAACTTTAAAGTCAATTGATCGAATGTCCAATGAACATGATCAAGTCGATCTCGGCCGTAGCTCTACTAGGTCTGGCTTCTGGCTGTGGTCTCACATTAGCTTCATTAACCAGCACTAATTGGATGATAATTGATGATCAAACCTTCATCGGTCTGTTTTCTAAATGCAGCAATTCGCACTGTGAGCACCTCAACTTTACATTGGAATCATTTGGTACAGGTAAGGGACCGTGCACACCATGTGAGCACCTCAACTTTACACTCATCCTCTGGTACAGGTAAGGGACCGTGCACATCATGTGAGCACCTCAACTTTACACTCATCCTCTGGTACAGGTAAGGGACCGTGCACATCATGTGAGCACCTCAACTTTACACTCATCCTCTGGTACAGGTAAGGGACCGTGCACACCATGTGAGCACCTCAACTTTACACTCATCCTCTGGTACAGGTAAGGGACCGTGCACACCATGTGAGCACCTCAACTTTACACTCATCCTCTGGTACAGGTAAGGGACCGTGCACACCATGTGAGCACCTCAACTTTACACTCATCCTCTGGTACAGGTAAGGGACCGTGCACATCATGTGAGCACCTCAACTTTACACTCATCCTCTGGTACAGGTAAGGGACCGTGCACACCATGTGAGCACCTCAACTTTACACTCATCCTCTGGTACAGGTAAGGGACCGTGCACACCATGTGAGCACCTCAACTTTACACTCATCCTTTGGTACAGGTAAGGGAACGTGCACACCATGTGAGCACCTCAACTTTACACTCATCCTCTGGTACAGGTAAGGGACCGTGCACACCATGTGAGCACCTCAACTTTACACTCATCCTCTGGTACAGGTAAGGGACCGTGCACATCATGTGAGCACCTCAACTTTACATTGGAATCATTTGGTACAGGTAAGGGACCGTGCACACCATGTGAGCACCTCAACTTTACATTGGAATCATTTGGTACAGGTAAGGGACCGTGCACACCATGTGAGCACCTCAACTTTACACTCATCCTCTGGTACAGGTAAGGGACCGTGCACATCATGTGAGCACCTCAACTTTACATTGGAATCATTTGGTACAGGTAAGGGACCGTGCACACCATGTGAGCACCTCAACTTTACACTCATCCTCTGGTACAGGTAAGGGACCGTGCACATCATGTGAGCACCTCAACTTTACATTGGAATCATTTGGTACAGGTAAGGGACCGTGACCACCATGTGAGCACCTCAACTTTACACTCATCCTCTGGTACAGGTAAGGGACCGTGCACACCATGTGAGCACCTCAACTTTACACTCATCCTCTGGTACAGGTAAGGGACCGTGCACATCATGTGAGCACCTCAACTTTACACTCATCCTCTGGTACAGGTAAGGGACCGTGCACACCATGTGAGCACCTCAACTTTACACTCATCCTCTGGTACAGGTAAGGGACCGTGCACATCATGTGAGCACCTCAACTTTACACTCATCCTCTGTTACAGGTAAGGGACCGTGCACACCATGTGAGCACCTCAACTTTACACTCATCCTCTGGTACAGGTAAGGGACCGTGTACACCATGTGAGCACCTCAACTTTACACTCATCCTTTGGTACAGGTAAGTGACCGTGCACACCATGTGAGCACCTCAACTTTACACTCATCCTCTGGTACAGGTAAGTGACCGTGCACACCATGTGAGCACCTCAACTTTACACTCATCCTCTGGTACAGGTAAGGGACCGTGCACATCATGTGAGCACCTCAACTTTACATTGGAATCATTTGGTACAGGTAAGGGACCGTGCACACCATGTGAGCACCTCAACTTTACACTCATCCTCTGGTACAGGTAAGGGACCGTGCACATCATGTGAGCACCTCAACTTTACATTGGAATCATTTGGTACAGGTAAGGGACCGTGCACACCATGTGAGCACCTCAACTTTACACTCATCCTCTGGTACAGGTAAGGGACCGTGCACATCATGTGAGCACCTCAACTTTACACTCATCCTCTGGTACAGGTAAGGGACCGTGCACATCATGTGAGCACCTCAACTTTACATTGGAATCATTTGGTACAGGTAAGGGACCGTGACCACCATGTGAGCACCTCAACTTTACACTCATCCTCTGGTACAGGTAAGGGACCGTGCACACCATGTGAGCACCTCAACTTTACACTCATCCTCTGGTACAGGTAAGGGACCGTGCACACCATGTGAGCACCTCAACTTTACACTCATCCTCTGGTACAGGTAAGGGACCGTGCACACCATGTGAGCACCTCAACTTTACACTCATCCTCTGGTACAGGTAAGGGACCGTGCACATCATGTGAGCACCTCAATTTTACATTGGAATCATTTGGTACAGGTAAGGGACCGTGCACACCATGTGAGCACCTCAACTTTACACTCATCCTCTGGTACAGGTAAGGGACCGTGCACACCATGTGAGCACCTCAACTTTACACTCATCCTCTGGTACAGGTAAGGGACCGTGCACACCATGTGAGCACCTCAACTTTACACTCATCCTCTGGTACAGGTAAGGGACCGTGCACATCATGTGAGCACCTCAACTTTACACTCATCCTCTGGTACAGGTAAGGGACCGTGCACACCATGTGAGCACCTCAACTTTACACTCATCCTTTGGTACAGGTAAGGGACCGTGTACACCATGTGAGCACCTCAACTTTACACTCATCCTCTGGTACAGGTAAGGGACCGTGCACACCATGTGAGCACCTCAACTTTACACTCATCCTCTGGTACAGGTAAGGGACCGTGCACACCATGTGAGCACCTCAACTTTACACTCATCCTCTGGTACAGGTAAGGGACCGTGCACATCATGTGAGCACCTCAACTTTACATTGGAATCATTTGGTACAGGTAAGGGACCGTGACCACCATGTGAGCACCTCAACTTTACACTCATCCTCTGGTACAGGTAAGGGACCGTGCACACCATGTGAGCACCTCAACTTTACACTCATCCTCTGGTACAGGTAAGGGACCGTGCACATCATGTGAGCACCTCAACTTTACACTCATCCTCTGGTACAGGTAAGGGACCGTGCACACCATGTGAGCACCTCAACTTTACACTCATCCTCTGGTACAGGTAAGGGACCGTGCACACCATGTGAGCACCTCAACTTTACACTCATCCTCTGGTACAGGTAAGGGACCGAGCACATCATGTGAGCACCTCAACTTTACACTCATCCTCTGGTACAGGTAAGGGACCGTGCACACCATGTGAGCACCTCAACTTTACATTGGAATCATTTGGTACAGGTAAGGGACCGTGCACATCATGTGAGCACCTCAACTTTACACTCATCCTCTGGTACAGGTAAGGGACCGTGCACACCATGTGAGCACCTCAACTTTACACTCATCCTCTGGTACAGGTAAGGGACCGTGCACACCATGTGAGCACCTCAACTTTACACTCATCCTCTGGTACAGGTAAGGGACCGTGCACATCATGTGAGCACCTCAACTTTACACTCATCCTCTGGTACAGGTAAGGGACCGTGCACACCATGTGAGCACCTCAACTTTACACTCATCCTCTGGTACAGGTAAGGGACCGTGCACATCATGTGAGCACCTCAACTTTACACTCATCCTCTGGTACAGGTAAGGGACCGTGCACACCATGTGAGCACCTCAACTTTACACTCATCCTCTGGTACAGGTAAGGGACCGTGCACACCATGTGAGCACCTCAACTTTACACTCATCCTCTGGTACAGGTAAGGGACCGTGCACATCATGTGAGCACCTCAACTTTACATTGGAATCATTTGGTACAGGTAAGGGACCGTGCACACCATGTGAGCACCTCAACTTTACACTCATCCTCTGGTACAGGTAAGGGACCGTGCACATCATGTGAGCACCTCAACTTTACATTGGAATCATTTGGTACAGGTAAGGGACCGTGCACACCATGTGAGCACCTCAACTTTACACTCATCCTCTGGTACAGGTAAGGAACCGTGCACATCATGTGAGCACCTCAACTTTACACTCATCCTCTGGTACAGGTAAGGGACCGTGCACATCATGTGAGCACCTCAACTTTACATTGGAATCATTTGGTACAGGTAAGGGACCGTGACCACCATGTGAGCACCTCAACTTTACACTCATCCTCTGGTACAGGTAAGGGACCGTGCACACCATGTGAGCACCTCAACTTTACACTCATCCTCTGGTACAGGTAAGGGACCGTGCACACCATGTGAGCACCTCAACTTTACACTCATCCTCTGGTACAGGTAAGGGACCGTGCACACCATGTGAGCACCTCAACTTTACACTCATCCTCTGGTACAGGTAAGGGACCGTGCACATCATGTGAGCACCTCAATTTTACATTGGAATCATTTGGTACAGGTAAGGGACCGTGCACACCATGTGAGCACCTCAACTTTACACTCATCCTCTGGTACAGGTAAGGGACCGTGCACATCATGTGAGCACCTCAACTTTACACTCATCCTCTGGTACAGGTAAGGGACCGTGCACACCATGTGAGCACCTCAACTTTACACTCATCCTCTGGTACAGGTAAGGGACCGTGCACATCATGTGAGCACCTCAACTTTACATTGGAATCATTTGGTACAGGTAAGGGACCGTGCACACCATGTGAGCACCTCAACTTTACACTCATCCTCTGGTACAGGTAAGGGACCGTGCACACCATGTGAGCACCTCAACTTTACACTCATCCTCTGGTACAGGTAAGGGACCGTGCACACCATGTGAGCACCTCAACTTTACACTCATCCTCTGGTACAGGTAAGGGACCGTGCACACCATGTGAGCACCTCAACTTTACACTCATCCTCTGGTACAGGTAAGGGACCGTGCACATCATGTGAGCACCTCAACTTTACATTGGAATCCTCTGGTACAGGTAAGGGACCGTGCACACCATGTGAGCACCTCAACTTTACACTCATCCTCTGGTACAGGTAAGGGACCGTGCACATCATGTGAGCACCTCAACTTTACACTCATCCTCTGGTACAGGTAAGGGACCGTGCACATCATGTGAGCACCTCAACTTTACATTGGAATCCTCTGGTACAGGTAAGGGACCGTGCACACCATGTGAGCACCTCAACTTTACACTCATCCTCTGGTACAGGTAAGGGACCGTGCACACCATGTGAGCACCTCAACT